GAAGCATTGAACTTGTTGGAAGACATGTTGAAGGAACTGTCGACATGTCTGTATGTTTGACCTTCTTTTCCCATAGAGTCTTTTTGAAGATCCAGGAAGTCTATGGGCCTGTATAGTGTGAAGAATCTGTGGCTCGCCGATTTTTGTTTTTACTAAAACTAAAACGCGAATTCTGTGTTTATCGTGGCTTGTCTCAAGGCCCCAAATACCTCATGAATACATTTCATACATAGAAATTGATGTACTTTTCGATTTATGCGCAATTAGCCGTGCGCAGCTTACACGGTTTTTGTTGCTGTACTCCATGAAAGTTCCATTAGCGAGAATTTGTCTGCTTTTCACTAATATTCGAGTGCTTGTCATATTCGAATGAAATTTTGTCATCTTGGTGACCTAGTTTCAGAAAAAAAAGTCAGATTGATAAGTTGTTATCAGATAGGCCTACGTTGGAAACTATAATACGTGTTCATGTATACACTTGAATAACAGTAACCATTATAATTTCATTATTTTTTGATGTCTTAGATATCAAGTCAAATGTCTATGCTATATTTTACGTTCTATTTTACATAGCTTATCCCCAGTCTTGTTTGTTTGTTTGTTTGTTTGTTTGTTGGGGGGTGTGTGTTTGTTTGTTTGTTTGTTTGTTTGTTTGTTTGTTTGTTTTCAAAAGGTCTTATGCGTTATCTAAATTATTTCGTTCTTCATTGTAATTGTCACTTGTAGCCTAGATTGGTTTCAGGATTTCGGTGTGGCTTTAAGTTGAAAACCTTTCTCCCAAGTTCTTTGCTCAAACGACCTGAACATAATTCGCTCGAAATCTCCACATCACTAAACTTCTGGATTAAGGTGAAGAACAGGAAATAAATGTCAAAAATTACTAATAAGTACCTTGGCATGTCTGTCATAGACCACGGATTACATGTACGTTAGCACCCGACACGTGTATTGCACGTGGTCCATGATTGTGCCGTTTCCCCGTTAAATCTTCCGTATATAACTTTGTAAACAACCACACTCCAACTATACATGTAAGTTCGCAACTGTATAGCTGTAATATACACGCACGAGTTTATCATGGTTTGTATTTTGCATGGACTTCAAAGGTTCAAAAGTTCAGTATTCACCAATACTATCGCGGATTTGTATAGGCCACACAACCTTGCATACAAAAATGTAATTGGTTTATGTTTGAATTCAGTAGGTGTACCTATCTGTAATTGTGAATCGGAAGTGATACTATGGCAATCTAACTGTTAGTTAAATTGAATGGTTGAAGAACGTCTACCCGTATTATTCTCTCTTTGGACCCTAAAGTTAAAGAATGAGCCGCACCCTTTGACTTCAGTTGCTTTTTACTATGCTTAAGGAGCTGCTTAGAAAAGGTGTGGGTTCCAATTGTTGATATTCTTATGCGCATAGGTCCCTTCTAATATACATGTATGTATTGGAAATTTTCAATGAAGTTAGTCATGAGTTCATTGCACAATGGGATTGTTAGCGTCGTGAACTTTACTCGATTTCACTGGCGTTCTATTCCGCACGGTCAGACCGCTGTAATGTCTGGACAGGCTACGCAGCTAGTTGGCCCATTCTACCGGTACCTGAAGTCACATTTCTGCCATTTTGGTTTGCCTAAACTGCTGTGATCTCAGTGTTGCCACTTGGCAACGTACACCCCCACATTGCTGAATTTATAATAATTAGGATTATAAATAATGATTGAGGAGTCAGGTTGGCCTAGTGATTCTGTCTTCGCCATTCGTCTCCGCGGCCTGGAGGTGCAGTTCATATGTGCACTGAGTTTTTCAGTCCGTCAGGCTTACGAGCCAAAGTGCCTCGGGTAATTTACTGATTTAATAGTATTATAAAAGCTGCATTAGGAAACCTATTGATGCACGTTTTTATGTTTGCTTGGCTGAACGTTCAGGAAAATGTTTTTAACATGAAATCTTGCACGCTTTGTGGGGGAAAAAAGATGGTCAAAGTGACTTCGGGTCATTGGCGGTATTTCTTGGTATGGTAATATATGTAGTCCTAGATCAATGTGTGAAAGATCGGTGCCATTTTAAAACAAAACTTTTCTGGCTGTTCCTTTTGACGCTTTTGTCTACACGCTTTGGAGGTCAATCGTATAGATGCAGAAAAAGTCTTATGTATTTTGTTAAGTTTGTTTTATTGATTTTGTTTAAAAAGGAGCATGGCTTTGTCAGAAGTGTTACTAAACTATGACCTCTCAATTTTGACTGGCAAGAAATAACTTAAAACCGCAGGGTTGTAATCATTACGATTACATTACGATTTAACCCATTACGATTAGTGCTGTTCGTTCTGTACTGATACAAAGCACTTTTTTCTACCGTAATTAAGCAAAATGTGTGTTATGATTAAGAAACGCACCACGTTTTAGTGTTAACGCCCTCGTCGGATGCTGACACGAAACTCGTTTGTGCTCAGGATTCAGGGTATATGTACTACTTTTTCGGTTGCTTTTATATCACTACAAACTAATTCTTCAAAAGTACTTTATCTGTAAAATGAACCAGTGAATGTTGATATGAATTAATACGAATTAAAATTTCTTTCGGCACATGATGCCAGTTTGGATGCCACGTGTTTCATTTTTTGTTGTTTGACTTAGGGAGTCCAATTAAAATTACGATTTTTTTTCTTACACGCGCCTTTTTTTGCGAAACTTTATACTCCCATGTGTAAAGATTGCTGTACCTGACATCTCTTTTAGGTTGTGTAATGGAACTGCGCCTTTTTCAACAGTTCAAAGTGTCCATGCTTTTCTTGACAACTGAGGGCGCCAATGTCGGTCGTGAAAGACATGTTTCATTTGATAGGTTTTTCCGTTCAAATTGTGAAACCGAAATTTGTTATTGAAACCCAGATTTCTGAGGAAGGATTGCTCACAATCAATACATAGAAACTGGAGGATTTAGTCCTGCTTTGGCTAGTGTTGTGCACTTACACTACCATGAATCAAAGACATGAAACAATTCCAGAATGAATGTTGTGCGCAAATCAACGAAAGCATTGGCGCTGTTTTCTCGTGATGACATCACAGTGTTAATGATGAATGTGGGAATACACATATACACATTTACAAACGTAAAACCAAAAAGGCACAAAAAAGCCCTTTAGCCAGCAACTCAAAAATTGAAATTATGATTAATTGAGATGGGTGCAATTTTAAGGGTTGTGTGTTTCTTTCATTGCATTCGCATGTCCCATTGATCAATAACGTCGAACGGCTAAGTACACAGCTTTTCACTACAAGTGCAAGGTTTCATTGAATGCTGTGTTGGCGGATGTGGCGTGTAAGGCTATCCACGTACAGAGATATCTCTATTCCTAATAGAGATAGAGATATTAGGAATAGATATACTGTCTCTCTATTTGAATAGAGATATCTCTATTATTACTAGAGATACCTCTATTCCGGGAATAAACGTTAACTTGACACGTCTAGGAATAGAGCTCTGTGTACGCGGATTAAATGTTACCTTTGCACGCCATAGGTGGGCGTGGTTTAAGTTGCAACGACGTCACACCTATTGCAAGAATGCAGACTTCGTTAGAGTGCAGGAAAAACGTCCTCGATAGCAATAACTGTACTCATAATCATACCCCAAATTCATGGTAGTCTATGTTTTCGACAAGGACTTGACTTGTCTAGCTACACGGCAGCCTTCTCGCAAAGCTATGCGTTCCTCATGCGTCATGTAAGGCAATCGAAACCCGCCCAGAGGGGGAGAGAGGACGGGGGAGAGACGGAGGGGAGAAAGAGCAGATCGCCATTGCGCACGGTCCTGTGCCATGGTCTTCCAAACGAAAAGCCAACGGGGATGTATCAAAGGTCCGAAGATCACGCCTGAGGACGTACTTGTGTAGCCAAGACTTGGGAGAACACGGACAAGGAGCACGCGCCGGAACCAGCTCCATAATGGGTGCAGTCTACTAATTAAAGTGAGAATTTCTGGTCAGCTCATTAGCATTTAAAGTGCCCCCTCCACATTACAACGTCTTTTGAAACAGGAAATTGTTGCCCCCAAAATGGTGAAATTGTGTAAATCCTTTACCAGGATCAGGTCCCTGGGTGTTTGGGCTTTCATCTGAGACTGAGAGCAGAATGGCTAAACATGCGGTTGAAAAATGGTCCCAAGTGCCCGAGTTATTTGGCCCTGAATTTTAAACTATTTTCAACGGGCCTTAAATTAGTGGACTATACCCATATGAGACGTCCTTGGGCAGACAACCACCCTCTTGCCTAACAATGTATTCAGCGACCAGAATGAGAAGCTATTACAGCGATGGCACAACGCTCGTGGACAGCAAGGTGGTATACGCGCGCGTTACATGACTCTTTGACCAACAGGGTGTTGAGCTCACACTAAATAATAATGATCAGCTAACTACGGTCCCCAGCAGTCGACACATTAATTCGAAAATTTGTCTTGGTGAGAATCTAAAAAAACGTAATAACCGTGCAGACCGTAGCCAGTGATTTACCCTCGGATTTTGAAAAACATGGGACGCGTTTCTTCTGACAATTTCAGCTCAGAGCCAACCTTGTAGCTCGGCATATTGTGTTGATTTCGCTCCTGTAAAATCTAACGTGTGTGACATGAAAGAACGGTACTGTGAACGGTTGCGTCCAACTGTTGCATTGCTTTAGCTGCAAACAGTGAATTTTCTACACTGGAAATGGGTGAACCCGCTTGCGAACAGCTTCCCAACTTAAAGGACCTGTTCGCCGCAGCGAATCTAGCCTGCGTATCTCGCTATAACGGCTTCAAAGGATAAGACAAACCTGAGATGATCAACTAAAAATGACGCCCTCTATCGTTCTAGGCTCTGGCTGTTAGCTCCAGTTTGCATGCAGATACCGTGCGCCGCGCTATACTCTATGTACAAACATTCTTTAAGGTAGACGATAAAATTTTGAAAAATGAACATTCCACAAAGTGTACCAGTCTTGGGGTGATCAGCAGTAAGTTTAAAACAATGTTGTTATTAGTTACTTCAAGAAAAAAAAAAGATGCAGAAAAATACCACCATTAAAATACTTCGATCAGTTTGGCACTCTCCAACGCTACGGTACAAACTTTAAAATCAAACAAGCATAGCATTATTGGACGCGTAATAAAAAGCAGTAGACCAGACTAGCATTGAAAATGAGACAGCGCTTTAACATCATATTATAACTTATCGTAAGTAATATGATTTTGTGTTCTCTACCATCATTTACTTTGTTTGAAAGCTAAGAAAATGGCCCCATTTTACTCGTCACGGTTTGCTGCGTTCAGAAATTGACAAAGTTTGAATGAACAAATGCAGTCAAAAAGTAAATATTGTGCGAAAAACGACCCGAACTGCGGTCCAGTTACCTTTCCTGTCATAAAGATATCAAGGAAAATTGAGACTATTACATGGCTTTTAATACGCGCTGAACTTAGCTCGTGGCTTACGTGTTTGAACTACCCGCTACTTAAAGTGCTATGAAGTGCAGTACACACAAAAGATAAGTTTATACATGCCTCACACCATTTCGGCATGTTTCATTCCAATATCTCCTCACCAGTGATTGTAGTCGTCTAGGTCAAACTTATGCACTCTTTGTGTTGTAGAATCGAAGATAACCAAAGTTCTTGACCGTTGTTGCTGAAAGCTTTCGAGAGAAGTCAAAGTAGACCTGCTCAACGGAGATAATGTACCCACTGCCTTACGAACTAAGAAACGGACCATGCTCGCCATTAAGGGGTCTGTATAGTTAATTCCATGGTTCCCATTTCCGACCGACCCTTTTTTGCTCTGATCGAGGGAAACTTTCCATCGATCCTGTCTGAAATTTCTTGCCGAGAAAAAAATTGAATTATTATATAGAAAGCACAATATTTTGTTACCAATTATCCACTTTCCCCCCTCACTGGCCCTCCCTCTCTAAGTAAAAAAGAAGAATTATAGAATAAACTACGGATGCCCTTAACTATAAATAAACATCTAAGCTTGCTTAATATATCGTCTCGACACTGGCTTTGTTATTCAAAGGCATGGCATTTTTACAATTTCATCCGGTCAAATTGCAAGGAGTCGCGTAGGCCGTCAAGGTGCCACTCGGTGCTTACGTCATTGCCACTATAGGTAGCCTTTTGTCTGTCTTAAAAAATGATAAATTTAGGCGCGACGATGCAAAGTGCCAAAGAAGCACATTAAAGAGTAACTTGAGTACACGTATTCGAGTTTTTATGGTTCCAGTTTGTTAGCAGCCAGAAACAATGTTCCAATTATTCCTCTGGATAATTATGACAGAAAGTCCTGCCCTTGCCGGATTTTGTTAACTTTGATAGTTGTCCATTTGTCCACGTGGGTTTAGCAGACGACAGCCAACTCGCTCGGTGTACATCCGTGTATGCAACAATAAGAGGCAATGCCGTCGTATTCAGACCTCTTCACCAGTCTGCTCGCGAAAAAGGCTTCGTCCTCCAATGTAGATCCGAAGCTCCGTTTGATATTACCTGCATCGGTGAAAGTTCGAAATACAATGATATAACAATGACCAGATGTGTTCTTGTTGGGGTTCAGTCTCCGGAGTCACCAACAGTGATGTTGGTCTCGAGACCGGTCTCTGCCGGTCTGGAGACCGGTCTCTGCCGGTCTCGGTCTTGGTCTCGGTCTCCTTTGGTCTCGATATCATGACTGGTCTCGAGCCTTTCTCGCCAGTAGAATTTTACTGTGCTGTAACACTGAAACGTTGAGCGGGAAGGCACTTTGCGAGTGGCAACAGCCTGAACAAGAGTGCACTTCACAAACAGTTGAAAGATCACTTCATTATTGATACTTTCCGATCACTTTACTGTACAATTAATTTGTAAACTTCTCTGACTATATGAAAACTAATCAACAACTTTCTTTTCAAAAAATGGACCAATAAATCTCAATCGTGACAACAGGTAGATCCAGAAGCTTTTAAAAAGGGTACAAAATGCGGCGTTGGGGGACCAGCCTTAGTACCTCGTTCCCTTGAGAGGCATTCGATGAATGCACTTGTAGCTTTGAGGAAAACAAAGTTCTTGGTTTGTCTTTTCCGCGTTCAAGCGTATCAAGAGGGGGAGGGGGCATGACCCTTGTGACGGTTGATTTGCAGCTGGAGAAATGAGCCAGCTTTACACTGAGAAATTTCCAGCGAAGTTCAGTAAAGGTTCGAGAGATTTAAACTGGCAATTTAAAACTTTTTAAGACTTCGTTACAATTCCCCTACTTAAAGGTTGTGCTAACGCAGATCCCCCCTCCCAAGGCAATTAACAACTTTTCCATCATGGAAAAATTCAAATTACAATCCTTAGCAGTCTCTCTATTGAAGCGAAATCAGCCATTGCATAACATCACTCACCTCGCAAGCGGCTCCCTGTCAATACGTCTTTCAGGCTAAGCACCGGCTCACCATCACCCCGCTTGTGGGTTGAACAGGTCTGATAGACGGCCAAGTGGAAGTCGTTGTCGCAGAACTTTTCACCGACGGCTCCCGTGTTGATGGTTGCTTGTAATATGAGGAGAACCAGGCATGTTGCTTGGAAACGACGACGGAGGTTGTTGGCCATGGTGCCTATTAGGGGAAGCATCGTTAGGTAGTGAATATTTTGTCAGGAAATTTGATGTAACCAGAGGCGCATGCACCAAGAATTTTATACTAGAAAATGGTTGTAACAAGCCAACTATAGGTAAGTATTATTAGTAGTAGTATTTTAAATTTACAATTACAAAAAAATATACATTTTAATTTTAAATGGCATCCAAAACCGTAAAACCGGATAAGACAATTTACAGTTTCACTCTCAAGTACTAGCGTTTGCAAAAGTAAATAATTATAATTTACGTACAGCACATCGTGATTCAAAGTGTACCTAACTTCAGGGATGTGAGTTCTCTATCACGAGAAATAGAGCAAAGTTATCCAACGACAACGTTTTCATAAAACGTCAAACTTTAATATTGTTGACAGCTTATTTCGCGCGACTTTACCTCTGACGTTAGTTTGATCACACGTGTAATGCATTGAATGCACGGCGACCGAGGTGTCTGATAAATAGCAATTATAGTCAACAAAACAGTGTTGGCACCTCTCATAATAAAATGAATAAGTCATTCCCACAAAAAGAGAATAAAACAACCACAAACCCAGAGCGTACAGGTGTTGCAATGATGCTAGGCATACCAACCAACACTACTTTGTTGTCTACTCGGATGATTCTCCTTACCACCCGCGCTTGAGCAACATCTGATCGCCAGCTCTAGCTCACAGAGCAACTGACGCATGCAGGCGGTCGATACGCTGCTGAACCGGAAATTTCTGGAAATTGCTTTCTTTGATTCCAAGGTTACATATATCGTCAAGAAACTAAGGTTTCTGATGTAAGTGTGATAGGGACAGTTGTGACTTAACGACGTGTATACTCCGAAAGGGGACAAATGAAAGTAACAGTTAGATTGAGTAATTAGTATCATTTATGAGACATCGCTCACTGTAGGTTTCGCTCGATGTGAAAAAAAATATCACTGACACGTGACAGGGTATGTGGGTAGTCATAACATTCTGCACTTCCTCTGTGACGTTTTAAGCAAAGAGTTTTATGTGCTTATACCTCCTTCATAATTTGTGGTTTTGCACTGTATTGGGAAAGGGTATTTAACGCTTCCATAATAGGTTAACATGATGTTTTCAAGTCGACTTTCATTTCTTCATGTCTCATAGGCCGTTTTCCAATACTCGACTTTGTCTCCGTCTCAGGCTTCGTCCCCGAAACCAATCCCCGATTGTGGGCCTGAAGCGTCTAAATGATTGGATTACTGTAATTTTTGGCTTTCGTGCATCTTATTTGATGTGTTCTGTGGCATTATTAGACTGATTACTGCACTTATAGCTTCAGAGTCAGCTAGTAAAAAGACAGTTGAAGCCTGAGACGGAGCCGAAGTTGAGTATTGGAAAACGGCCCTGGTTCTAGTCATTATTATCACCATCTTCAACATGATGCTTAATTTGTAACAGGCGTAAGTTGGCTTTAGGGTCTCTAATGTTGTGGGAAAAAATACAAATCTAATCAGATGAAGTATCTAATGTCCCTTGCTTTTCACGTAGATAATATCGCTACAAGTGGGAAAAAATGAACTGGAAGCTTTTTCCTGTCCGAGTCCCGAGCGAGAGGTTTTGCTCGCAAAACAATTGTCTGACTCTGAAATTTTGCATTGAGTATTGCCCTTCGCGGATAATACCGGCATGCTGTGTGGTCTTATCTGAGGGATTGTGAAAAAAAGGTCCTCTGGTGAGACTCGAATCCTCGACATCCTGCTCAGGCTTATAGGGCAGGCGTCTTACCACTTGGCGATCCAGCTCGCTGGGTTTGGTTGGCTGGCCGGTTTGAGTCAGACGATCAGTCGTTCCTCTGGCAAACCTTTTTTCCACTCTTAAATTCTGCCATGCTTTTGCGTATATTATGCACTCCTTATGCAAAAAAAAAAATTGTTCACCGAAGCGCATTTCATGGTGTAAACACGCGGAAGAACAATACCGCTTCTCCTCCCACTACACCTTAGAGTGTGACGTCATTGTTTGCTGATGCCATTACCACCTCAATCTGCATAACCACCAGAGTGTTGTGACATCATTGGTGGACTGCCTTGCGTGGCACGTCCTGTGATCCCATGCATGCGTCCAAATCACAAGAACTGTGTTCGAGTATTTTCCAGATTACCGGTATGGGACGATCCAGTCCAGCTTGCGAAGTGGCAATGGACTTTCCTTATTATGTTATGTAACAGACACTGCCGAACTTAAAACTGATGAGGGATTTGCCTTACAGAGACTTACTGTCGAAAACAAGTCTTCAGTTTGCATTATGATATATGATCCATAAACAGGTCGTTAGCATATGTAATTCCTGTTGAAAGTTATACCCAGATGACTACTTGTCAAACAGAGGCATGTAGAATTATGAGGTAGACTTTCAAACGATCTGCTTTAATTTCATTATTGTTCTTTTTTACCACGCTACAGTCTCGGTGACCACCGGCATCTGTCCTACCCTTCATAGATTGATACGATGGTACGAGTTCACTTCCCGTCAAGTCACAGGTTTCGCGGCAAACGTAGGAGTGATCAAAGGCGGCGACAACGCAACCGGAAGTTGCCAGCTGCGTTATCAGGATATGGCACGCCGAAGAAACAATATTGACAGTCGTAGAGGAAGAAAGGGCGCGGTAAACATATTTAACGACGAATGAAATAAATCTTCAATATTAGTAAAAGGCCAGTTTCCAACCCTTAATGATCTTGTCTTCTTACTCTTCCCCAGGCCGGCGTTCCCCCGTTTTTTTCCCGCATCCGGTTTCTTCGCTTTGTGCTTGTCCCACGGTGTCTTTTTTTTTGCCTCATGGAAAAACGTGTTCGACTGGATCGAAATAAGAGGGTCTCCGAACTTATAACAAAATTTCTTTATTTTTTTGCAGTACGCCAATTTTAAATTCGAAAGCGCATGATGTCGAGGTTGAATTGTCGTGCATTTTGATCCCGGAGGGAGGAGACGGTTAATCTTATACTTACAATTCTCCAAACGCGCGAAGTGTGAGGAAGAAACATCTTCTACAACGTGTGAACTATTCTATTACAAGATGGAGGGCTCCTGGCCCGATGCCTTCGATGGTGTGATTTTTGTAATGAGCAGTTAGTTCCAGAAAAATGAGTTTTCGATGAAAGTGCGACATCTTCGCCTTGTAATATGCTGAACGTGGAGTCCAAGTGTTCCGGGTTTCAGCAACGCGATATAGACCCGAGTTGAACTAACCATTTTGAGCGCGCGCACGTGTGATTGAGAAATGCGCAAATACCGTATATGAAAACAAGTTCGTGTGAAAGGACAAATTGGTTGACTGCGTGTTGGTTTCACTTTGACGTGCGACGGTATAAGATACAGTTATGATGACGACTAACCCCAAAAGAACCCGGCTTTCTTTGGACCATCGCGGCTGGAGGGGAGGGTACTTCTGAATTCAGAACTTGGCTGTCCCAGACACGCTCGATCTTTTGAAAACTACATGGGTGTGAGTAAATGTGAGAACTTTCAATTAAATCCAACGCAGGGTTGTTATTATTGTGGTCATTTGAAGTTCATGACCCTCACGCGTGTCGGTTCGCGTCCACTGAGCGCGTATATGGCAAAAGTTGACTTTTTGACTGACCTGACTTGGGAAAGGGGCTTTTTGCAAGAACGGTATATACGAATTTAACAAAACAGTGTCAAAATATTTTCAAAACTCATTAAGGCTTGGCCAGTGAAAAGAAAAATGCATTGGGACGAGAAATTGTCGGGGAGAGGGGCGAATTCCGTTCGCTTCTTGTATAGGTTAAACCGAGTAGTGGTTTCTAGCCGCGTGCACTACGTCGGAGACCATATTGAACGTTGATTCCCCTGACAAATATCAAAGTTTAACCAATTTTAACTTCTCAGCTTTTCCTCGGCTATCCGGCTCATTTTGTCATTCCGAAATGCTGGCGGTCTTTACAAGCAAACAAGCGCCGAAGAATTAAAATATCGCAAGGAGGAAAAAGGCTCGCTATTCCGGGCAAACGCCGCATTCATTGGTGGAAGTCATTGTTAGCATTAGTGTGTAATCACTAATCAAAGAAAATGTGCTTCTTATAAGACGACTAGTATATCTAAGCACACTGACGGGACATTTTCCGTTCAGATGGAATAAATTTGAGTCAAAATTATTCTTTTATTTTAGCAATACATAGCCTTTTCTTCATAACACACGACAATATACTTTCCCTTTCGATACAGTTTCACAGGAATGTTACAAAATTCAAGACAAATGTTTTAACTGAATATGGGACGATTTAGAGTTTACTGTTACAGCTACATGTCTTCAAAATTTAATCTCTAGACCTAAAACGAATCGAAAAAAGGAGCAAATTTCACCTAGATGTACATTTTCGACCGGAGAAGCGGATATCAACTGTCAAGACAAAACTGAGAGGGCTAAAAATTCGTTCCTAACACGTATGCATTTTCGCCATTCCCACTTGAATTGACCAACGATTGAGCTAGCACACACCAATTTATTTCCGCCACAGAACACTGCCGAAGTTTGCAATCAGCTTTTTTTTTTTTTTTTTAAGTGTGAAACTCAACACTAACTAACTAACCAACACTACAACTAAGAAATTTACGCCATACCGGTATTCACTTGAAAAGGGTCATGCTAACCGGGCGGGTGAGTGCGAGGCAACGCCGCGCTTATGTAGCTTCTCTGTCAAAACCTATACAGGCTTTGCACGGAAGCCGTCTTATAGGACAGTCTTTTGTTCCACAGGGAAACTTGCTTTGTGCATACCATGTCGAATAAAAGCACTAGCCTGCATGATGGCAGCTATGCAAACTCTCTAAACAGTAAACAAACTGTGGTACGAAAAATTAAAGATGAAAATTCACTTACCTGATGACAGTTATACTGAGAACAGTCTAGCGGTCAAACAGTTGTTTGTTTAGTGAAGAGCGTCAAAACCCTTGCGTATACCAACTCTCTGTATTTTAGGCGCGTACCAAGGATCCACCGGACTTGTGAGGCTCTGTCGCGAAATCTTCTCTCTTTATAAACCTGCCTGACTTCCGACCCTTGAACAATCACACTACAGGCAACCCACCACCTGGTCCCGGACAGTATTGCCAGCACGATCGGGGCTACGTCGCTAGCGCTGTGCACCGCTGCCCACGGCAGATTTGGCGAGAACTAAACAGGACACAAGCTGTCAAAATGATGGACGCAACAAGCGTAAGTGACGCCAGCAATTCAGACGATAATGTGTCAGCTGGTTGAGAAAGATCTCATATACGGGTGACGATAATTTACGTACTATTTTAGTGCTTTTTGGGAAGGGGCGTCCATCGAAGTTATTAAATACAATAGTGCCCCTCCAAGAGTTTGCAACGCGTTGACCAATCACATTGCGCGAAATCCGTGTTTGGAAAGGGTCGACAGATTTCGTGCTCTGTGATTGGTCAACGCGTTGCAAACTCTTGGAGGCGCACTATTGGGAATCGCCCGTATTTTAATGTAGAGGCAAAAAAAAAGGAAACAGAGATGAAGTATTTCCGGTGGTGGTAATGTAGTGGCTGTAGAAATCCCTCGGATTCCCCTCCTGGAAAAACAAAAGGGCGCAGTTGGAACAAAAGAAAGGGTCTTGTTAATATCGTGTGATTGTCTGGGATTTAGTATTTTAAGTACCATCAGGCGATTATTTATCGTCACAATTTCCATTTACTTCACTAAAATGAATATAAAATCAGTGTTGCAAATATTCTAACAATTTTTTCTACAAGCTGAATATTGATACAGGGCTTGGATGTTTTCTGGTCGATAAGAATTCAGTCAGATTTTAAATGTCAATCGTTTGATCTTTTGTCAGTTGTTTTCTGTCTGCAGATGGACTGAAAAAACTGAGAAAAGTTAAGAATCAGTCGACATTCAAATAACATTGCCTCACGGTAAGGCCTTTAATCTGTGTTGGGATTCAAAAATTTGAGTGAAACCTTTCGCGACTTTTATGTAATTTCACTATACAGTATAAGGCCAGAAATCATCTTTTACAACAAATGGGCTTGTTTCCTTGTGAGGATATTCGGACACTACCCAGTTCATAAGTGTGACGTCACTTCAGTTTAAAACCACGCCCACTGCAATAGAGCTGCGGAACCAGTGGAACTGGAAGGTATTAAACGCGCAACTTCAGAGCTCATCTAAGGAAGCTTGCTATCAGTGGTGCGTGCGTTTGTATGATACGAACCGGATGGGCCAACAAAACACCCCCCCATTAAACCGTTCAAATAAACGGGGAAACAGCGACTTACGAACAAACGAACAAATAAACCCTCCTGCTGAAACCCTAGTCAAAAGAAAACATCCACAATAAAATAAAAACAAAAGGAAAATACATAAATTATGTTATACTCACTCCCCGTCGAACAATATGTCATGATATTGCACATGCTCCTGCCTTGTAATGAGTGTGACGTCATTTTCAAGCTGATGACAATGGAACTAAAACTTAATAGTCAAAAGACTGACAGGTCATTGAAACTCATGTACATTTACTACCGGAAGGGGGCTGTCATGGGGGCCGGTCCCCCCAGGAAATCCATGCCACCCGGTACTCACACTCCATCCCCTACCCCATTTGAATTCTTGAAATGTACACAACGTGAGAACAAGTCACTGCTAGTTTGCTTTCAAGGGCGCCCTTGACAAAAATTGGGTGCACCCCCATGCCCCTTAAATTTTTTTCCACAGTTACCCTTTATACTTGTACTGAGAAAATGACGACACGCTGTGTGCTATAGCCCGAGAGGTAAGTAACCTGTGCTGAGATTTTAACCAAATAAAATAAATTCAGTCAAAATGTACAGACCAGTGTATGTCTGCACAGCTGGTATTGATGTAATAATATCTCTTGTGTGTCTGCAGTCCCTAGACGCCATATATAATCTTTTAGGTTTAAAGACTGCTCAACACCCGGCACAAATTTAACGTCGTTAATTTTACTTTCAAAGGTCACGGCATCATTGGTTGAAAATCACACCAGTCTTTAGTACAGTACGCTGAGTTTTCCCAGTTGCAACCTGAGCATTTTGAAGGGAGGCTTCATAGCTTGCAAGCTACAAAAACCTTTGATGTGAAGCACTACCCGTCTTGTAAAATGTGCGTCGGTATTGTGGGGAAGTGTTCATAGAAACAACTCCTGAATGTAAACATTTGAATGAAAATCACATTCCAAACTATAGGTGGAGAGAACTCAGCAGGCACGGATTCAGGGGGGGGGGTGACCCCAGCCCCCCCCGCTCTCAGACTAAAAAGTAAAACATGGGGAAATAATAAAAAAACTTAACTAAAGTAAGTGTATCAATTGTAAACAAATATATGTTTCATCATCGTTGTCGCTTGTCGCAACAAAATGACACATAAAAATATATATATTCTTCGGCCTGACCACCCCCCGGAAAGGTCCTGGGTCCGCCCCGTTCATTTTCTACCCCTATACTTTTCCTACAGGTATTTGTGGAAATATCACTCTTGATTGGTGTCAGACCTCAGAATTTATAAATGCCCTGATGTAATAGTGTCAGAAGATTTCCATATTTGAGTAGAGCATGTGTAGTGTTTATGATATGTTGTGATGGTATAGCGTGAGATTTTTAACACTTAGTACATCTCGTAATGGCAGCCAGCGCCAAATTTCCTCGTCACTTGGGGAAAAATATACCAGTGACGTAGAAAGCGCAAACACGAGGCCGTTGCCTTAGAAAGAGCTGCTTATGAAAACAAGGCTCTGTACCCTAACGCAAAAGCGTACATGATTGGAACACTGAACACTCCCAAAGTGAACTCAAAATTTATTAGTGAATAGTTCATGAAACACATTACTTAACACGCCCGCCCTGCTCTCAGAGAACCAGATACGAAATTGACGTTACTCGAATTCTCAGCTCTGGGTGTGGGTCTTGTTTGCGTCACAAAAATTCTTAGGATCTTTGAGATGGTTAACAACTTGCATTTCACGTCATATCACCCCTTAAGTTATCGAGCGACACCTTACAAAAGCATTTCGCAACTTTCCGGTTCGACATTCTTTCTACTATCGGTGAAACGACAACGGGAAAGCGAAAAAAGGCAAACCAGCTGATTATATTAATCCCGCCCTTAAAGTTTTATTTTCATGAACAGGTAGACCCTGCACGTCGTCCGGTCTTCCTCTCAATGCACGCACTTTGTTTGATGCAGCAGCGCTTGATAGATTCCGTGAAAATATACACATTGGAGCAAAAAAAAAAAACCGACCAAAAACGTAGATGGAAGAAGAGCGCTTCGGCCGCACCGGCCATTTCCCGTATAATTGATGAAGTGTCAAAATAACCACCTGCTCTATACATTTTGATCGTCGTAAATATATAAAAAGGAGAAGCTAAGGAGGAAACAAATGAATCAGATAGTTTCGTTAAATGGAGTGTTTAGTCAACAGGTGAAGACAGACCAAAATGTGCGAAGATTCCATGCCCTTTGATGACCTCAAACCCACCTGGTCTCTTACCCGAATCATCCGAGCACCATCCCCATTTCTCTCCCCCCATTGTTTCTGGCATCCAGTGACACCCATTTGTCCGATAGGACCCTTTGAAACAATACAAGTCCCGTAGGAAACGCATGTGTCTGGAGAAAACAGTTGGACCACTTTTGTATCGTTGCTGACGTTCATCAGCGGAAACTCTGTTGTTGACGAGAACCTCATATCAAACTGATGGAAAATGTAGGTTCACCAACACCTAACAGCCACAAAAACGCGGCCATGAGATTGATTCTTCGCTGTACGGATCCAATGCCTATCCAGGTGGCACCTTTTCGCGTTTCGTTGTGCGTAATATTTCGATTGTGTTACTCCTTCAAAGGTTAGATGAATGATTCTTTTTGGGTAGTTTCTGTTTTGTCGACGTGAGTCTCTCATAATGGTTAGCTGAATGTATGAAAATGACCACAGATCATAACCAAGAGCTCGATCGACAAGAGGAGGCACCCATGTAAATAGGCTAGAAATATGTCCGCCGAGCTCATAAGTTATACGCTCAAAATATTCTATATTAGAGGATCCTGAGAGCCATGGAACTGGGGAATCGAATAAATATGAGACTGAACCTCTGGGCCGGACTCTGGGCTTCCAATTCTGAGCAATTTGGATGCAGTCGGGTCCGAAAGTGGCACTATTTTAGCCGCCGCTTTGCAGAGGGGTGCATTTTCAAAATGGCTACTTTTCCGGACAGTGAAATGTTATATATATTAATATATATTTTAGGGATGGTCTGCTTTGGGTGAGAATTTCTCGAAATTCATTGGTCAACCCACTAAAGATTGAAAGGAAAATGAAAAAGTACATGTCGAACATTGTTTTTCTGTGCACAGCCTGAACACCTGTGAGAGTTCCAATTATTATTATTTTTTAAATTGTGAAGTATGGGGATTTGTCACTGCTATCTGTGGGAAATTACTTGCTGTGGTGCAAGCACATTTTATGTCTATGGATGCACTATGGGTGCTACAATCCTGGACAAAATAGCTGGAACACCTTGTGGGAAGCGCGGTGACTGGTCCCCCTTCTGCCCTATTCAGGGTTGCGGTCATTTATTGGACCAAGATTTGGCCATACTTACCCAATGAGAAACAACATTGACAGGGGGCGGGGGGAGGCATGTTCCAACGAGATTTGTGCTGGATTGTCTGTAAAAAGTTCGCCTAACCCTGACAGGGAACGCGTACATCAAGCTCTTCAAAAATGATACACGCGAGTGCGATGACATCCGCAACAATACACCACCTCAATTGAAAACAGGAGAGTCAGTCACATCCTTTTTTTTTTCATGTTTACAATGTTTCATCTGAAACCCAACCAGGAAGTCAAAACAGGTCAGACAGAATTGTGTACTCCTCATGTGACCATATAGCCCTTCAGACCGAACAAAAAACTTCATTTGAAAGAGATATGTGCTGAAATTGTATGGTGCACCGTTCACGACGCGCCCAACTTATCCCATTTCGAATGGCCAACTTGCCTCTTGTTGCGGATACCTGCGAACAGCAATCCCATCCGCGCAAATTTACTATGAACCCTTCACTGAAACAAATCCCGTACCGATGGGTGATGATCATAACCCATAGCTGGAAGTACGTATTTACATATACCTTCTTGGGGGCGGGTTATTATGCTCTTGACAGGGCATACTACCACACCTTGCCTATAATAGTCATTATTTATTTCATTCCATAACCATCTAATGCTTACAGCCTCACACAGCAGCGCCCAATACAGCAACGCGGCGTACCCCCGCCCTAGCGCGTAACACAGACCCACACTCATGACACCCACTTTCCACTAAAAAACTCAGACAATCCTGGACAAAATAGTTGGAACACCTTGTGGGAAGCGCGGTGAAAAGATCCTTCCTCTGCCCTGTTCAATGTTGCGGTAATTTCATTTTTATTGGACCAAGATTTGGCCCAACCCTATCCAATGAGAAATCACATTGACACGGGGCGAGGAGGAAGGCATGTCCCAACGAGATTTGTCCTGGATTGTAGCTCAGGATTCAGGAGGCCCTCTGTTGGTAGATCGTTTCCTGTGATGACCTTTGACAGTTGCGAAGGACGCGCCATATTTTTCTGCGCTTAAAGGAGCTATAAAAGATGAATTCTGTCAACCCAGCTGCATTCATAAGAAACAGATAATAATCGATGTAAGTTAGCATGGTAACATTCGATGTATTAATGAAATACATTAAAATGGAGGTATTGTGTGTGCCGGTTTAATCAAAGGGAAAAAAAATTGTCCCACATTCCGGACAATTGCTACTGCGCGATCGTCGATCAACACCTGAACACACGATTGTGCGATAGCCTTGTGCTCTCCAGTAAATGTCCTGTATTAAATATCCATTTGGAAAAGTGTTGCATCCTGACTCTGCTTCAGCAGTTGTGTACAAAGTCTATGGGGAGTGAAGAGAATTTTCTAAATATTTCCCAACGACATCGGTAAATGTTTCTCAGTCTAGAACTTGTGTCTTTCCAGTATTTCTGTAATGACTGACTTTTATTTTTTATTGAGATGATATAATCCTTTCATGAGAAAAGTGGAGTCAGGATGCAACATTTTTTTCCCTCCATTTAACTTCACTTATTTGAAAAATCATCTTCCAAGTTCCATTGTGAATTAGAAAGAAAAGGCAATTGTCTGAAGTTGAAATAGGCCTAGGCATGCTAGGCGATATCGCATTAGTAATTTGCACAATGGTAGAAAGGCATTTTTGTAAGGGCAAAAGGTTCAATGATTTCTTTCTTCCTTCCCACAATGCCTTTGGTCCATTGTGCAAAATCATATTTCAGAAAAAAATTGAAGCTTTTACCCCCCCCACCCTCAACATATTGACAATCACACTGTAGGCCTACACATGTACATGTATGCGTACACAATATGCATGCGTTGAGTGTGTTTGTGCGTGAATGGCTACTGTCCGTATATTGCCTCAATCATGCTACAGGCTTCTCAGCATGGCAGTGAAGAACCACTTGGTGTTCCAGTGCAGTGGTTCTCCCAATTTGATGCATGTTTTATAGTACAGTGGCCAGTCTCTTTATACTCGGGCCTGGATTTTCTGACACTTTCATTTATAATCTAGTACTGTAAGCCAGGTGGAGACATCTCAGCGCATCTGTCAGCATGGCTCCCGTCGACTGGGATCACATCATGGGGCTGGATGCCAAGGAGCTGACAGAAGACACTGCTGATGATTTGCTCAGTACCCTTTCAAAGGTGAGTTGGCTGAAAACGGTGTATGTACCCAGAAGGCATATCAATCTTAATAAATTTTCAATAATGCAGCCAATAAAAAGTTCTGTGAAAAGGCATTTAATTAGCAGTTTCAGTCATCGGCCGAAACAGCTTTTGTTTTTCTTAATATTTTTTCTTTTTATTCATTTTTTTGTTATTTATTAGCTTTTTTGCAATTTAGTGAAAAGCCTATCTGTTCGTCAGGATTTTTTGTTGGGGGGGTTCTTTTTGGGCCCAAAGCCCATAGACTTTGCACACGTTTTTTCTGTGCAGCACTTTTGCCATTAATCTTTGTCGCACAGCATTCAAAGTTGGCATAGTCATTATTGCATAGATGTGTGCCGAAGAGTGACGTCATGATGACATCATCAAGTGATTTATTATTGATTTTTCAATATTTAATTTAGCCCACTCACTTTGTACACGTTTTCGAGGCACTATTTTGGTACTTTAGTAATCGTTGATCGTAGTCAAAGTTACAGCAAGCACTAACTATAAAACGAAGATAATATTGAAGTATTTATGTCATGATGATGTCATCAAGTGATTTATTATTAAATTGTGAATATTTAAATATCCCGTTAAATTTATAAAAATCCTTATAAAATCAACCATGGCCTCCCGCAGCGGTGTTAGTCTGTTGGGGTATAGTTTTCTTCAAATCATCTTCTGATGACGTCACCTAATTGTCGAGCGCCCTTTAGCGACAGGTTAAAAATTCTGAAAAATGAATTTTGAATAGATGTCATTGGCAAATTTTGTCTGAATTGCCTGAAAATTGATGTAGATGATCATCTTCACCCAGTCAACTCGTGTGTGAGGTTTTTTGGCCGATGACGTCATCAGACTGGAAGTTACAATAAAAACTTCTTTTAGTCTTCAAAATTTGGTAAAAAATCAACCGAAAGAGATATAAGCATGAATTGTGCACAAGATGACAACTAAAACATTGGAGTCAGCTGCATGAAGTGCATAACTGGTGTACATGTACATGTACAATGTACTTCTTCAAACACATGAAGCACCGTCTACAAAAACCCCCTTACAATGTAAACTGCCAACTCGAAACTCCCATTCGCATACTGTGCATTGGCTACTGTATGCCTGGATGCCCAATACATGTATCTGCCTGCAACATAGACGGCGCACAGTGCGTAGGGCATATACTCCGGACCTGGCAAAATGATGACATCATCAGTTGAAACGTCAAGTGATATTAAAGGTGCATCATTTAAAACTTTATATTTCTGGAAGTACATGTGCCAGCAGGTTGAAACTTTTCATATATCTGGAAGGGAATGTGTGATAGACAAAAATTGATGTTATAGAATGATGATGTCATTAGTTGAAATGTCACGTAATATTAAAGGTGCATGATTTAAAGCTTTATATTTCTGAAAGTACATGTGCCAGCGGGTTGAAACTTTGCAGATATTTTGAAGGGAGTGTGTGATAGATGGAAATTGACCTCATGGGATAATGACATCATCAGTTGATAAGTCACGTGACATGAAATGTGCATCCTACTAAGCCCTATATCTTTAAAAGTACATGTCCCAGTGGGATGACACTTTGCAGATATGCAATCATGATGATGACATTTTCATTGAAAAGCGAAAAGCCCTATGTTCTGTTGCAAACATACAAAGAAGCTCTCGTTTTTTTTTTCTTCTTTTTCAAATTTTTGCTATTGACATAACACTGGGTCGTTCTGCACACCACTTTCGGTCCTGACTTCCCGCTGATTTACTTCAAACCCGGCACATTTTTTGTCTACCTCCTGAGGATGTATGCCGAATCGTGATGTCATCATGACATCATCACCTGATTTATTATAGAATTTCAAATATTAAATTTTTTCCCATATATTTTGTACACGTTTTCAACACAACATTTTGGTTGTTCAGCAATCTTCAAATGTCATCAAAGTCCCACCCGTTCCAACTTCCGTTTTTATTAAACCAAAAAGGTTCCTGAAACAGCCAAGTGTCTGTCTACCGACAAATACAATGTTCGTCTCGTTCCATTTGTATACATGTACACCATATTACATGTAAGATGCATATACAAAACTTACAAGGGTATTTTTTGTGTGTGTGTGGCATTGTGCAGAAATAGTTTGGAAAGGGATATTAATTGAAACATGAAATGGACAAGATACGGACAGTGACTTTGAAGTGTGATCTTGTTGAAGGAAACACTCAGTGACAGGTGGCAGGCTCTGTTGTGAATGCCAAGTTAATTCCATAATGTTGGGCACACTCATTCAGTCGGTGTGATCTATGACTTGTGCTATCTGTTGATCTTGTGGCACAACCTGTTTGTGGTTCCACCATCAGCCAATCACTTTCCTTGGTAACTCATGGTTATGGAAGATTGTTTTGAAAAGAGAAAGTAAAATTTAAGATTCCTTACTTAATAGGTCAGCGCAATTGACTTATCAAGTGGCGGCATCTTAACAGTAGCTTGCCTTTTACACTGGCAAATTAGGAAAACAGCATGTAATCTGATTCGTTTTGCATTTTGTTGCAACTAACTGATGCAGGTTAACCCGTCAGATTCCGATGCCCCGGACCGTCTGCTCCAGCTGTTTGAAGTGTCGCGGGCCATCATGCAGATCAAGAGTGAACAGGCCCAGGTGGCCATGGAGGAACTGGAGAACATGGCCCAGGCACAGGGTCAAGAAGGAGTCCGCAATGGTAAGCTTTACCCTGCGACGTCTGCCCGCTCATGTCACAGACAGTGTTTTAGTTTAGGCCACTTGAAACTGTCGTAAGACCCCACAAGACTATCACAAGCCCTCCAGTCTGAATTCAACTCACAGTATATCCAAATGGACTGCATCAAAAACATACACAGCTGAACCGACACATTCACTGTACAGTCCCATGTTAGTGTCAAATATCGAACATCAAACTGCATCCAACTCGCACACTATACAAACATGCGTGGATATTGAAATTGACTATCAAGCTAACTTTATTGTTGTGGCAAAGGGTTGATTTTCCCTTTCAAATCCTTCCATTTCAGGAAATTCTTAGTTCCTTGTCAACCGTAAATAACAATAAAAAGTTTGACTGATGTTTGCTCTATTGTCCATTGTGAGTGTTTACTGGAAGCATTTGTCAGGATTAGTTGTAGTGTGTCAAAGGAGGATATAGCCATTTTGTTACCTCTGCTTGAGGTAGTTAAGACCAAAGATCGTATGACGCCACGAAGCGGCGCAAGATGGCGAACTTCACAGTGAATACATGTAAAACGTTGTAATTGCATGGGCGCCATTTGTGCAAGCGATACGCCTGCGCAATGCACATTAATGCATAGGCGCAGGCGCCACGGCAGGCACATGCACCTTGTAAGCCTGCGCTTAAGCATTACCGTAAACTGTGCAGGCGTATCGCTTGCTCAAATGGCACCCATGGTTATTACACCCTTTGGGCAGAGTTATCCACCTTGCGCCTTTGGCACTATACGATCTTTGGTTAAGACAGTTTAAAATAAAACCCTCTCATCTCTGAACTGCCTCAGGTTGGAATGCTGCAGTGCATCCAAACCTCAGCTAGAAAGTAATCCCTCAGCAGTAAACAGTATTCAAGAATTTGTCAAATTCACAGAGATGCTGAACTGAATGCCAAATGCTCCTTAAATCAGACGGAAGTAGTGTAAATAACCCATTTTTTTTCGCTGTTGTAACTTCCTTGTTCACCGGCAGTTGAGTATGCTTTTTAACTGGCCAAGAAAATGGCCATGGTTTTTTTATGGAGGTTTTCTATCCAACTCTTAAGATTTGAGCTTTGTGCTTCACCACACTGAAATGATCTGATTACCGTTTGGATTTTTGTTCAGAGCAAGCACTGCTGGATCAGATCAGAGAATTGGAAGAGGAAAACAGAAGGCTGCAGGTAAATATCAGGCCTTATGGGGGAATAACGCTAATGCTTTCATGATGTAATATGTCATGCATTTACACAGGCCATGATGTGATATGTATCAGGACACATAACGCAAACTTAAATTATGGTATTATTTACAAAGTAGCAGTGTACCAACATTGTAAGTATTATGAATGAAACCGATTCCTTTTCTTTACAATCAAAATTTGCATCATTAAAAATGTCAATTTTACGAAAATAAAAAAACTTGATGCTCAACAGATCACCACAAAAAGTCAAAGCAGTCAGCCGTTTTGTTCCTCACCTATGCAATACTTGATAGCATGCATCTACGTTGGTTTCCGGTAATGAGATTTTTTGTCCGCTTGTTAGCGTATGGGTGGTGCGTCAGGTTCTAGGGACATCCGCTCCCTCCAGAATGAGATCCATGAGCTGAGTCGCCAGTCGGACCTCCTGCAGCGTGAGCTGAAGGAGAAGGACCGAGAACTGATCAAGGAGCGACGAGACGGTGAGAGGGTGAGTAGCAATCTCAGTATGGCTGACTTTAATTGACTTGGTTCCTGCTCGCAGTGACTTGCATGGCTGTGGGGAAGTGACCGTGCACAGCCACTAGCCCAGCGGCTTCCATGGGTCAGGCGCTATTCCTAACTGTAGCTAGTTAATTTTGGTGCGGTGTATGCCGCATCTGAATTGCTTAGCTGTAGCTTGAAATTACGCACGAGTCTATTGTTGTGGCTACAGCCACTTCCCATGGAATTGTGTGATTTCAAGCCGTAGCCAAGTAATTTAGGGACAGCGTTTGTCAGAGAACAGGTAGCATGCTATTGCCCTTATCACCTGTGACATAAGGGCCAACCCGTCTGAATGCCCACAGCCATGTTTATGGGCACTGCATTCCACGTAGACTTCCACAGATATAGGCCCTTTGGACTACATAGAATCAAGAAGCATAGAAAACAATGTGATTTCAGAAGCGCTCTAGAGCATTGTCGTCCCATACATAAATATGTGATCTGCATTTTCCAAATATCCTTGTCCGTTTTAAATGAGTTCTCATGTACGTTTTGTGGAGCAAATCAATTTCAGTGAGCCTGTCTTGTTGCTTTCCTGTTTGAAAACATGATTACAAATCTGAAACATTGGTTTTTCTGCAGCAAACTTGTTAGATTTTTGTGACTTTGTTCACCCACTGACATCATAAACACTTATTTTTCATACCCGCTTAGTTTGCATCAAGAGCGGAGGAAGCTGAACGAGAGATCAGGGAACTGAAGCGAGATGTAAGTTGACGAAGTCATCTTGTTATCAAGATGTATTTTTTGTGTTAGATTTGACTTGCATTCATGTGTAGTACTGCTATCACTCGTGCCATTGTACCCGCAGGATTTATTGAGATAACTCACAGTTGAGACATTCACCATGAGATTTCTTGGTTACACCATGCTTGTCATGTTTCCTTATTATACGTCAAGTGGACATTTAGTGTTAACCCCTTCGCGCCGGGACGCGTTAAGACACGCCGTAAAAATTGAGATCCTCAGCCTGCTTTTCAGCTATTATTCTCGGCCCACGCTCGAGCAAACACAGTGAAAGAAGGCAGACCCTGGCTCTTGTGTATATGGTAATTGGTCTTTGTGTGTAGCCCAGAAATGAAAAAACCGAATTTGCATCATAATCACCAGCTTCACAATAGTCCCCACTTTGAAAC